CCCATGGAGGCGCTTGCTGAACAAGTAAGTATTATTGTTATTTTCCAAGCCCATGCACCCAAATGGCAAACACGTTCTTGAAGTAGCTTGAAGAAACTTTTAGAGTTGGCTCATAAATTTAAAACACATTCAGACACATGTGAGAACCAAACAGATGTAAGTTGTGTGTGTTTATTGATGTGCTTCATTTGCGTGTAGGTATTTGTGGACTGGCATCAAAAGTTTCAGGATATCCTGAATAAAAAGGTGGTGCTCCTGACTGGAGAGACAAGCACAGATCTCAAGCTTCTGGGGAAAGGAGACATTATCGTCAGTACTCCAGACAAGTGGGACATCCTTTCCCGACGCTGGAAACAGAGGAAGAATGTCCAAAATGTCAGCCTTTTTATTGTGGACGAAACTCACTTGATTGGAGGAGAGAATGGGGTGAGTTCATAATGAACATAATGAACCATGTTTCTTGGCAAAACTTGGAAAAACAATCATAACTGTGTACTTCAGCCTGTCCTGGAGGTCATCTGTTCGAGGATGAGGTACATCTCCTCGCAGATCGAGCGTCCCATCCGCATTGTGGCTCTGAGTTCATCGTTGTCAAACGCAAAAGACGTGGCTCACTGGCTGGGCTGCAGCACCACAGCAACATTTAACTTTCACCCCAACGTCCGGCCTGTACCACTTGAGCTGCACATTCAGGTGGGTGAATACATGCATACTTTCAGGTTCATATAAATGTGGTGTTTTCTAATGTCCTTGCATTTGTACAGGGCTTCAATGTGAGTCACACGCAGACCCGACTCTTGTCTATGGCTAAACCTGTGTACCACGCCATCATGAAGCACTCGCCATCCAAACCTGCCGTCGTCTTTGTCCCATCCCGCAGACAGACGCGTCTCACGGCCATCGACATCCTCACCTTCTGTGCTGCCGATGTTGTCCCTCAGAGGTTACAATGCATTAATTTTCACCGATCATCTATAAATACAGTCGAGCTTGAAAGTTTACACACCCAGACAGAAATCAAAGTCTTTGTGGTTGTTGACGATGAAGTTCTTTATTCTCTGATAGTAGATAGATGGTCTTGGAAAAAAAGCTCAATGTTGTTATAATGTTCAAATATAAAACCTGTTTATGTCACAATATATAGCTTCACATAACCACAAAAGATGAGAGGAATAATATTTGTGTGTGTTCATTCATTATCGCAAATATCTCCAAACGATGAAATATATGCTTGGGCGTTTACACTTTGAAGCACAACTGTCTGCCAACATAAATGCACAGGGAAAGCTAAAATTTGTGTTTGTGAAGGTTTCTGCATTGCAATGAGAAAGACCTGACTCCGTTCCTTGAGAAAATCAATGATGCTACACTGAAGGAGACCCTGGCTAATGGCGTGGGGTACTTGCACGAAGGCCTGTCTGCCACCGAGCGCAAAATAGTCGAGCAGCTTTTCAACACTGGTATGACTCACCGCTCCTCTGCATCTGCTGCTTTTGGAAAAATCAATTCTCCCAGATCATTTTTTCAGTTATTGCGTCTATTTAAAGGTGCTGTTCAGGTTGTGGTGTCTTCTCGTTCACTTTGTTGGGGCATCAGCATTGCTGCTCATCTGGTCATCGTCATGGATACGCAGTACTACAACGGCAAGATTAACTCGTAGGTTTTCTGAACTCTGGCTTTGCTGTCGTTTTGCAATCACTCTTTCCAAACTGTGAATCATTGTCTCTTTCAGATATGTTGATTATCCGATCTATGACATCCTCCAAATGGTGGGGAAAGCAAACAGACCAATGCTCGACGATGAAGGTCGCTGTGTCATCATGTGCCAAGGCTCTAAAAAGGTGATGATTTAAGTCTTTTAGACTCCAATATTGTTATGACACTTGTGGATCATTATGATGAACTTTTGGTACTGATGAACTTGCGGTACTGAAGGATAAATGGCTTTAAAACACAACTGATGTACCATAAAGTATGGCTCAGCATAATTTTATTTCATTTTAGCCAAAATGTTGCTAAAAAGGGTATCCGATTTGAGGAAAAAGGAAGTTCATAAATATATTTACCAATGTGTTTAGATGAATGAAAATATTAAAAATGTCAACCACAGTACATATTACCTGATGTAACTCTAACAAATGTCTTGCAGGATTTCTTCAAGAAATTCCTTTATGAGCCTCTGCCAGTGGAGTCCCACTTGGACCATTGCCTCCATGACCACTTCAATGCAGAAATCGTCACCAAGACTGTGGAGAACAAACAGGACGCTGTGGACTACCTCACCTGGACATTCCTCTATCGCCGTATGACCCAGAATCCAAACTACTACAACCTGCAAGGTCAGGGGGAAAGCACACACTAATAAATACACAATACTGTAACAGAACAAAAAACTTTAAGTTCTTGATATAACTTTAGGCATGTCACATCGTCACTTGTCGGACCACCTTTCTGAGCTGGTGGAGAACACGCTTCATGATCTGGAGCAGTCCAAGTGCATCAGCATTGAGGATGAGATGGACGTAGCGCCCCTCAATCTGGGCATGATCGCTGCTTATTACTACATCAACTACACCACAATCGGTCTGTCGCAACACTCACTCATTGTTACTTTCTGCTGTGAACTGTTTTTAAACAAGACAAATTGTTTTTGTGTACAGAGCTATTCAGCATGTCGCTCAATGCTAAAACAAAGATCCGTGGGCTGATTGAGATTATCTCCAATGCTGCTGAATATAAGCACATTCCTATCCGGCACCACGAAGACACACTTCTCCGACAGGTAGGGGGCATTTGTTTCATTTAAAGCCTGTGTATCGGCTGTACTCGGTTTGGATTTTTTACATTTCACATAGTGACAATGTTATGTTTCTGTGACATTTCATCTATGTACACAATCTGAGGTGTTGAGGTTCTCCACGGATTTATATTTTAGGATTTACCATACACATGTTTTTTTCTTCTCCAGCTGGTTCAGAAAGTACCACACAAACTGAACAACCCAAAGTTCAATGATCCACACGTGAAGACCAACCTGCTGCTCCAGGCGCATCTGTCCAGGATGCAGCTGAGTGCGGAGCTGCAGTCAGACACAGAGGACATCCTGAGCAAGGTGTGTGTCATGACACTTTAGTGACACTGGTTGTGGCAGTGTGTGACCGCGGCCTCTTGTTGTTGTAGGCTGTTCGTCTGATCCAGGCCTGTGTGGATGTGCTGTCCAGTAACGGCTGGCTGAGTCCAGCACTGGCTGCTATGGAGCTGGCTCAGATGGTCACCCAGGCCATGTGGTCCAAGGACTCGTACCTCAAACAGCTTCCCTTCTTCACATCAGAGCATATCAAACGATGCACTGACAAGGTACTGGTGTCTATCTTACTGATTGCATCATGGGAATGATTTCTTTGTCATTTTTTGCAGCTGTGTATAATGTCAAACATACGTAAATTATTTTATATATTGATACATGAATCATTCCTAAATGGATGATTCCTTGTGTAATGTCTTGGTGTAAATGTCCGCTTTTAATATTTTTATTAATTGGCGTCTTATTTGTTCTGTCGTTGTCTTTAGGGAGTGGAGAGTATCTTTGACATCATGGAGATGGAGGATGACGAGCGTACTGCACTTCTGCAGCTCACAGACTCTCAGATGGCAGATGTGGCACGTTTTTGTAACCGTTATCCCAACATCGAGCTTTCATATGAAGTTGCTGAGAAAGACAATGTCAAGAGGTATATTTCAAAAGTAAAAAACTGCTGAGTGTTTCCATTGGAGAAAGGATGTATCATTACAAGAGAAAAGCAGATCCAGCTTCTCTTGGTAGAAATGTGTGGCATACATGGCTGATGTCTTCCAAAGGCAGGTTTAGAAATGATTGATGTATTTATAAAAAATGTTCTCTTGACAAATGTCTTTTTTTTTTTTTTTTTTACTGTCAAGAGGTAAGTATTCTACAGTTTTAAAGGACCTTGTGATTGTTTTATAGTGGAAGTCCGGTTTTGGTACAAGTTCAGCTGGAAAGAGAAGAGGAGGTGACAGGACCTGTTATTGCTCCACTTTTCCCTCAGGTCAGTTTATTGCAAATTGGTAACAGATTTTCTTATTTTATTTACTGTAGCATGAATGTCAACTTTGCTTTTACAGAAACGCGAGGAAGGATGGTGGGTTGTCATTGGAGATCCCAAGTCCAACAGTCTCATTTCAATTAAGAGGCTGACCCTTCAGCAGAAAGCAAAGGTCAGTTTGAACTATTGTCACTTTTTAAATTACTTCTTGCACAATAAAAATAAACATTTTCGTTTTACTCCATAGGTTAAGTTGGACTTTGTAGCACCAGCTATGGGCGTTCACAACTATACCCTGTATTATATGAGTGATGCATACATGGGCTGTGATCAGGAGTACAAGTTCAGTGTGGATGTGAAGGAGGCGGATAGCGAAGGAGACAGTGACTCAGACTAAAGTGAAAACTCTTCTTGCATTTGGTTTTGTGTGTAGATATTCTGTCCCATAAAACCAATCTGGTATTTTTTTTCTTTGTCAATATTGCTATAATGGTTTTGTTTAGGTTGTCCTCAAGCAATGTCTTTTTACTTTGCCTAAAATATTTTATCCAGTTCTTTGTCACATCTCAGAAGTGTCAGCAATCACTGACTGTTGTTTTTAAAGTTGTTTTAAATGTCCTGTCTATTTTGTAATAAAGAGAAGCAATGATTGCAAAGACTCAGTTCCAGTTGCTTGTGCTGTACAGAGAATGCTTGATTAAAATGTTTAATATTCCATGATAAAGTGTGCAAACATAAGGTCCACCAATGACATTTACAAAGATTCCACAAATATATTTATGACTAACTAATGAATCTCTTGATTAAAGTGAACCTTAAATATTTTTTAATTGTTATCCATTTCTTTTAGAAATTCGAATGCTAAGGACAAATCCAGAACAATCCCCAGATGAGGGCAAACCTCTATGCCCTCATCTGGGGATTGTTCTAAAACATTTAGTTCTCTTGAAACCTCCAGATGGCAATCTCTCCGTTGTCACTGCACGAGGCGAGGAGCCCTGCCTCCTTTGGGTTCCATGCGACACAGTTCACATCTTGGTCATGGGCTTTGGCCACTTGAGCGGTCAGTGAAAACACAGGCTGATCTGGATCTGCTGCTTCGTCATCTTTAAATATTCTCACAGAGTCATCACCACAAGCTGTCGCGAGAGCGCCAGTCAGCCGACACCTGTGCACAATAACATGTTCAGTTTGGTTTCATCATCTTTCAGGACCATTATGACTCACCAGGAGACATCATAGACCGTTCGACCGTGATACCCAGACAATGTGCAGATACACTTCCATGACAAGTCTCCTGTAAATATAAAATGCATACTGTAGTTACTAAATGCTACATGTACAGTTGTGCTTGAAAGTTTAAGGCATTCATTGTTTTGCCCATGTTATGAGGTTGGTAAAGAGGATCGTGGTGCTCCGGAACAGCTCAATAAATAAATCAAAATTAGAATACTTTGGCTGTATTAATCTAATTTCTCTGAACATTGCTTGTCAAAGAGACTATGTCAAAAGGTAAATTGAAAGAGTCAAAATGACACGGCAGTGTCAGATTGAATGGAAAGGGGTCGACACAGGCTTTCTGGTCATTTTGAAAAACCCCTACAACTAACTGTACACCTACCCTGTCCATCCTCTGGTGAGCAGTCTTTCCAGATCTTCACAGTGCGATCATCGCTGCAAGAAGCCAGTCTCTTTCCTGTGACATCAAAGGCCAAACTCCAGACCGTGGATTCATGTCCTTCCAACGTAACACGGCACTCCCAGTCATCATCGTCCTCTTTATAAATACAAATATTGTTGTCGTAGCTTGCCGAAGCCAAAAGCTGCACACAAGTGACCCAAACAGTTATAACACTGTCAATAGAGACAAGTAGGGGACTCAAAAATCTAGGTACCCTAATCCCAGTGCAATCTCAATAGTGCATGTGTGAAGGAACGCATATCTATTTTAACTATTTGATACATTTTTATAGGCAACCTCTGCTGCTTTGTGCTGGTGTAGTTTTGTTGTAAATTTTATTAATGTCATTGTCAATAAATCCCAAACTAAATGGATTATGACTCAATTAAAAATGTCAAAAGAATTGGAATATTTCTCTTTGCTTGGGACAAGGTGCCATGATTTTAGTGAGTCCTGAACAATAGTATTATCCAAACATACTTCCTGTGTCGGGTGCCACGCCACATGCTTGACATCTTGAGTGTGAGAGTTGATAACGGTCACACACTCGTACTCATCTTCTTCATCAACTAGAAAATCAATCAGTAATAAAGGGCTTTACAGTACATACTTTTATCATCTGTATACTAACCTTCCCAAACCCAAACACTCTTGTCTCTGCTGCATGTGGCGAGCAGATTCCCAGACGGCGCCCAGGCAACACATTTCACCTCGTTCTCGTGGCCTTCGAGGACCGTTAGACTCTAGGGCAGGTCAATGCTTGAGAGACAATATGCAAACCCACCAAAGTAATACATCTACAGAAAATAATACCTCAAAACCATCATTCCTCTTTTTCCAAATAGTTGTGGTGGCATCAAAGCTGGCAGAGGCCAAGTAATTTCCACAAGGAGACCAGGCAACTTTCCTCACAGTGCGCTGGTGTCCATCCTCAAGAACACTCTTACAAACCCAAGTGTCACCTGGAATGAGAAATAAGTCACGTCATTAAACAAAAGTGTGTTCATTTTACAGATTTTTAAATTGCATTGAAGAGCAGATATCTAGTTTTTGCATCCGACATTGTCAAAAAGGTTTATTTAACAAGATAAATCAACTAGCGCAATGAAAGCAAGGGTAAGTCTCTAAGTCACTATTTGTCACTTTCGAGTGTGAGCTGATTGGCTGGATAAGAGTGATCCTCTCTTTTTCACTTTTCTATCTGAAAAATCTGATCTAAAGACTTGAGAGGCCAAAACAATATGTCAAAACTAGTGATAGAACCATAGTGTTTGGAGAACAAAGAATTTGGTGAGTTGGCTACTCCAACTTTAACAGTGATTGCATTTTGATCATTGTGTGTGAACTGGACTATTCAGACGACGTCACCACAAGTATAAAAATGTCTCAAGATAGATTGAATTAGACTTTGTCCTCATTATGATATCTCCTTTAAATATTTTCTCAATCACAAAGCCTTTGATAACCATATTAGTTTAGGTGAATCATTGTCTGGCCAATTATAATTGTAACCTATAATAATGATATTATTATAACCTATAGCGTTACATGCAAAAGAAGATGCTTTCATTTGCCACAACTTTCAATGTCCAGCTTCTGATGGGAGGATTATCACCTTGTATTTACCACATAATTCTCGGAAAAGCCATAAATAATTGTTTCACCCCTAAAATAACTAAGGTGTACAGTTCAGACAGACCGAAACTTCACTTTTAGCTACACCTGTCTGTTCGTATTTAACTTCATTGTTGTGTCTAATGTACCTTCTTGAGCCCAGATTCGGATGGCCTTGTCACCTCCACAGGACGCCAACAGAGACCCGTTTGGACTCCAGCTTACGAACCAACAGCGAGAGTCTGGATGTGCACTCAGCCTCTGCACTAAAGACAACGCTTCCTTCATGGTCCTGAACACAAGTTATACATAATAAGCACTAAATCATCATGTATGCAACAATCGTAGTGACTCAATCAGCACCGGTGTAGCCTCATGTCACAAGGTTAACCAAAAGACCAAATGCTACCTTGAAAAGATCGATTAAGATTTTAGTCCAAATATTGTCACAGTCAAAAGTTGAAGAAATCCAACAAAAACACTCAGATATCCGCGTTGTTGTGTTACTGAGATGCCGCCATCTTTCCAGATAAGACCCAAAGCATTGTGGGGCAATTTTTGAGTTTAAAAGTGTAACGTTACTTTCTCATTCCTTTAAAATTCATAGTTTCAAAGTGTATGAACAATATACACATGTGTGACATTTTGTAGTTTAGATAAAACGCACACATTGATTTAATTGTGACATTTTAACAGGCGTTGACTGTCGTGTCCGCCAGGGGGCAGCAGGGAGCGGTAGAGCGCAGTAGGGGGCAGTAGGGGGCAGTAGGGCGCACGTGTGTGCTGTCTGGTGCGGCACGAGTAAGAATGAAGTGAATGAGGAAGTCAACATCCAGTAATCTGCTTTTTGCTTTGTTTCTACTTTTGTTCTTTGTGGAGGGACGTGTGTTCACTTTGTCACGGGACCAGTTGTGTGATTCACGGAGGGGTCTGTGCTGCTTCGGTGACAGTAGCAGATCGTTGTTGTTGTTTTCTAGTCGAGGTGACGGGCTAACGCTGAAGCTAACAGGCCCCAAGGCCATCTGTTCATTGTTTCCTTTTCATAGCAGCTTTGTGTCATCTGTGTTGAAGCTTTCTGTGGGTGTTTTTATCGTGTAATTGCTAAACACTATAAAATACTCGTTGTCATAAGTTTTAATTGCGTGTATATTGGTTCCTGGCCCGTGTTGTTTTATTGTACTCAGCCCACGGATTGACCCGTCCATCGCAACATAGTTGTCATATAATATACGGTGCATTGGGACTCTATCGTCGGGTGACCATGTACGCTCCTCCGGGATCCACCGTGACTGGAGTTCGCAGGAGGAGAGGTGGCTCTCTGCCCAAACAGCCCGAGCGGAGCCTTGTGTCTGCTCTCCCCGGGGCTCTGTCCATCACAGCCCTGTGCACCGCGCTGGCTGAGCCCGCTTGGCTCCGGATCCACGGGGGAACCTGTCCCAAGCAGGAGCTCGGAGTCGCGGACGTGCTGGGCTACATTGACCCGAAGCTTTTGGATGGTGAGTGAAACTTATACTGCATCATCATCACACTGAAACTCACCCCTAGTCTGTGGATTAGTTGATCAGTTTGTCAACAGACCTTTAGCAAACGCCACAACAAAGTTGAGAATGCAATGTTTCACCTCCTAAATGACTAACTGCAGACTTGAGAGTTCAGACAGAGACGTGCCCCTTTTCCTAATCTCTTGTACCTTTCTTCCAGATTACTGTGTGAACCCACAAACCATCTTGCTACTGAGAGTGATCGCTGCCTTTTGTTTTCTTGGCATCCTCTGCAGTCTGACAGCTTTTCTCCTGGATGTGTTTGGGCCTAAACATCCAGCTCTCAAAATAACACGCAGATATGCATTTGCACATATTCTCACTGGTAAAAAGTGTTATATGTTATATTATTTACATATATGCATCAATTATGACTTACATGTTATGTTTTGTCTACAGTTCTACAATGTGCCACAGTCATAGGCTTCTGCTACTGGGCTTCAGAGCTCATTTTGTCTTTGCAACAGCAACATAAAAAGTACCATGGCTCCCTCATATACGTGACTTTTGCCATAAGCTTTTATCTGGTGGCTGGAGCTGGAGGCGCCTCAATTCTAGCAACAGCTGCAAATCTCCTGCGCCACTACCCGACTGAAGAGGAGGAGCAGGCCTTGGAGCTGCTCTCTGAGATGGAGGACAGCAGTGAAACCTTTCCTGCTGATTATGACATTACCAATCAATTTCAACCACCACCTGCCTACACACCTTAGTATTTCTTAACTGACTCTGTGAAAACATGCTCGTATACAAGCACGGCTATTGGCTTGTTGAGATAAGTCACTCAATATTGCAATACCTTTGCAGTATGTTTATCAATGAACTTGGTGTTCAATAGAGGCATAAGCTCCTGACTGATGCATGAAAAGCTCTTTCTAATGGTGGATTACCAAGGAGAAGATTTATTCACCAATCAAATGATTTGTTGTGTGCATGTAAATGGCCTTTAGAAAGGGGTCTTTACATGTAAAGGTTAAAGGTCTGACAAGAGCATATGAAAGACTTTGTTTGAAAGACCATTTAGTGGAATAAACACAAATGCCAATTTGTAAACCTTAGCAATGGATTGGACTTTGTTCATTGAGCACTGTTGTGCTGTTGTTTTTGTGCTTGCAATATGTATAGATTTACATACTGATAAATATTCAGAATGTTTTTGTTTTCTATATGTGGTTAAAATAACTATTTATTATGATTTCCTTCTTCCCCTCATTTTGTGACTTTGAACATTTGGCACTCTTCAGTCTTATTCATTTATGTGCGATAACGCTCTGTATTTGTTGTGTATTGATATAGCCACAGACAAATAGGAAAGCATCCCTGTTTTTAAAAGTTTATTCTCAAGTCAATATTCCCACTTACTGTATTCTGTGGATCCCATGTATGTCAAGGTATGTTTCTTGTTTTTGTTGTTGCATGGTTTAGTGTTCTGAATTTAGGCCTGGGTTCGGACAGGAACGTCAGTTCGCAACTTAAGGCTTAAAATGGTGGTGGTTGATGGTAACTTGATTGTGTTTTGCTTTACTGATGCCATATTAAATTTGTTTTTTGTTGCAATATGTTTATGATAAATATGTAAATATTGATTGTTTATACATACAAAATTGTCATAATAAACAAACCAAAAATCGTAGTTTTTCACCAGATTGTTCTTAGTAAGACAATGGTTTGATAAATATATTGACCTAGCCTGGTCTTACCATATCATTGTACAAATATAATTTCTTACATGTAGGGAAATAATAGTATAGTTTATGGATGACTGGGCTAATTTGATCAGACCGAATAATGACTTTGTCATTTCTGTGTGACGTGGATTTTCTATCCAAGCATTGCAGACCAAACATAGTATTACTGTGTAAGAGCCTTACCACTTAAGAGACTTTAAAGTTCATACCTGTGGTGAAACAGCTTAATCAATAGACTAAACCCTAAATTTAAGGCAAGACTATAAAATCTTTGTGTAACAAATGTGCTAAAATAGGGGGAACATGAATTGGGTAGTGCTACATTTTGAAACTCAAGTCCATATGCTTAGATCAGAAGAATAATCAGGTAATGGAGATCTAAGGGCAATAGGTCAGACGGAAAAATAACTGGATCAGACAAGGAAAAGGCACTTGTCTTCTAAATTAGACTTAGGATGCAGCTTCATCTGGTTTGGATCAAGAGTCAAGACAGTCATATATAAACTCCTCTCCTCATTGGTATTTCTCACTCCTTTAATTCAAACAAGACCAAAACCATGCTGACACCTGCAATCCTTCCTCTCCAAGCAAACCCTGACGGCTCTTTCACGTCAGCAGGCTTGCTTTGTTCATTATGGGAATTCTGGCAACTGGGGGAATACCAATGTGGCTCTGGTTAGTGTATGAGGTATACGAAATTGAAAATATATTAGGATAAATAAACATGTGTTACACTGTTTCAGGTTTTTCTGGCTGTGGCAGGTGGGATGGCACTGATATCCATGAGGGAGTATAGTAAATAGAGATCCATTCTATCATAACTGTATTTCCTGTTTTAAATATTGACAATGTAACTTCATTTCAGCACCTGAACTGTAGGGAGCACGTTTCCAGATGTTTGCCCCAAACCAGCAGCAGATGCAGGTGATGGACCACATGAAGAAATAGCAGTCTTCTGGGGAGAACCGGTATAATTGACAATTATATACGGCTTGTTCTATATTGTTGAATATAAAAACAATTTAATTTGTTTGTTACAAGGAACACGATGATGGAATCCGCCCGCTTCTCTCGGGGCCAGGGAATGATGCAAATGAATGACTTGTCCAATCTGGACGTCAAAAACTTTGATGCTGTGATTTTCCTAGGAGGTCATGGGGTCACCAAGAACCTGTAAGGAACATTTTGAGTGTGACCACAGACAGAAGCTAAAAACAAGAATATTATAAGTCAGATTAAATATGATTAAACTTTCAAATAGATCCTCTTTCACAAAGGACAGAAAAGACTGTAAAATCAACAGTGATGTTGAAAGGGTGCAGAAAGATTTCCACCGCTCACACAAACCCATCGGGTAAGAATATTCAAATCTCAGATCTAATATTTGTGAGATTATATCCATTTATGTTCTTTTTTATAGGACCAAGGTGCCACACTAGAATGCCTATTCATTTCAAAGCATATAGAGACCATTAAGCAGGGCCTTTAAAAAGTCCACAAAGGGTGTATTGCCAGGAGACAGAATAAAGGTTCAGACAAATCTGTAATCTTCTGTAGAGCGGCTGATCTGTCTCCTACACTTGCTCCTGACTTATGAAGTTAAAGAAGCTGTGATTTTGTTGAAAGCAGTGCACTTTAAATTAATAATTTTTTCACATTTCCAGGCTGGCCAGTTTGGCTCCCCTGCTGGCCTGCAGAGTGCTGCCTGGGCTGTTGGTGACCATGGGGTATGACAAGGATGAGGAGAACCGCTGGGGACACTGGCCCAATACGAATATGGTGCAAACTGTGAAGAACATGGGCGCCCACCACAATGCGAGCCATTCATATCCTTTCATGTCCCCTGATGTGCCTTTATTTCTGTTTAAGATTTCATTTTGTTTGACCTTAACTAAGAGTATTCTACAAGGCCTATGCGGATGAGAAAAACAAAGTAAGTAAGTAATCTTTATTTATATACCGCCTTTCACAGACAATGGTCACAAAGCGGTTTACAATTTTTATTATTTTTTTGGGCATTTGTCTCTCACTCCACACAGAGACAGGAGCGGGGTCGCCGAACAGGAGGCGCATGCCAGATCTATTGTACATATTTTTAGTGGTAGGGGAAACCGGAGTACCCGGAGGAAACCTACGCAGACACGGGGAGAACATGCAAACTCCACTCAGAAAGGCCCTGGTCCGACCGGGATTCGAACTCAGGACCTTCTTGCTGAGAGGCGAGAGTGCTATCCACTCAGCCACCGTGCCGCCTGAGTGGTCAGTACTCCAGCTTTTATGTGGGAGACTGAAAATCACTATCACCACATTTTTGACGGCATTGGTAACATGGTCAAACACGTGATGTGGATGCCAACCAAGTGAGATATAAGGAGATGCCAGATCAAGGCAATGTGAGGAGGGTGAGGTTAAGGTAGAAAGCAAAGCATACTGTACCTGTAAATATGCAATTAGACTTCACAAATGTAAAGTATTATTAAGAAACTGGATATGTAGCTGCACCATCAATCTGTTTTATTTATAGTTTTTTTCTTTTAGCGACAGAGAAATAAATTGAAACTAAATGCATTTGATTCAGTTTTTTATTTATTTAAATAAACTCTTACTAGAGCATCCAGCATTAACAGTGTATTCAAACATACATGACAATAACAAACTAATGTCAAAAATATAAAAAGATACATTTTGTACAAAAGCTTCAGAAAATGCAGCCTCCTCTTCTTTGGGGAATTGTTTTAAAAATAGGTCAAATGCAATCCAAGTTCATATACAGCCTTTGTGTTAATTTTTATGAACAGTTGTTCAGTAGATGGGCACAAAATTCATACAATTTGTAATTCACATTCAAAATCAGAAAAAGACATATTCACAGTGTGTCTTGTAAACAGTAGCTTTACCTTATTATAGTTAGACAGAATATCTCTGCATCATAAGAATTTGTACAAAACAAATGTTAACCTCAGCTCATCAAGTGTCATTCACTGTCGCTACGTAAGGCAGTAATCCCCGTTTCAGTTCATCAGCACAATTTCCTTTGAAAGGCTGAAATAGTCATCAAGAGTGATTCAAGTGGAGTTACAGTATATTTTTAGAGGATATTATATCAAAAGTGGATTTACATTAAATACATATCTGTACATCTGTACAGTAATTATGTACAAAATAATACTGGCTTCAATAAATGTTTTAATAAAATATGAAAAAGGATAAGTAACAAAACCATGAAAAATATAACCAAGGGGTCCTTTTCAACATTAGTGACACGTATTCAGAATCAAAACAAGAACTGTTGAAGGGATTTGTGTTTGGAACCATCAAAAACAACAGTTTTTGACAACAGTCAAAAGCCAGCCCTAAATCAATAGTTAGACACAGTCTGTTGTCTGATTGTCAGTAAAACAAAAGTCAAGTAACATACAAAGTTGCTTGAACCATATATATAAAAATACAATCTTCTAACATTGATAAAAGAGCTGGGGAGTGGCAGGACATTAAAATGGATAAAAGACCAGATCCATATAGTAGCGTATTTCAAAATGTGATTTAGGGTTTGTTCCTTGACAAATCTGGAAGAGAAAGAAGAAGATATGTATTAGTTATAATTATAATGTCTTAAGACACAGAATCATCTCACAGCTACACATGCATGACTATAAGGCAGGCAAGCAGCAACAGATGAAAGAGAGAGATGGGTGAGAGGGAAGGAGGTAAACGGACCGATGAAGCTGCTAGAGCAGTGCGGAGCTGGCCTCAGAGTCGCTGTCGATGCTGCGCTGGAGGCAGGGCACATGGGAGGAGGATTCCTGAGCTTGCCTGTACTCATGGTACTCCTGCCGCAGAGCATTGAAACGCTCCTCACTTAGGGAGCGCCTGTTGTGGCGAGGCGGGTTGGAAACTGGTGGACTGACTGAGGGGCACTGGCCTGGGAAAGGTATTATGGAGAGGAAATGCTTGGGTGGGCTCACAGTAATCACAACACAGGATAAAATGAACACATGCAGTGCAGTTACATCAAGCTCTGCAAACACATGCAATTCAAAAACAACAATGGAATTGAATTCTTACCTTTCTGCTGGTTGTCCTGGAGGCCAATGCATTGATCACGTCTGCCTTTCCAAAGGCCCTTCTTTGACTGATCCAACATCATGGCCTCCAGGACTTCTACATCCACACAGACATCAGCAGAGTCCCACTCATAACTCTCATCTACTGATGTGTTCTTTCTATTAACATACACAAAAAACAGTTAACAACAAATGATTCCATACACACACATACACTCATTTTGGCAACATTATTCCTGATGTGACCACACTTGTCCAGGTGTGGCGATGTTTCACCTTTTGGCTCTCCTCTCAGACTGCTCCATGTGTCGTTCACTCTCCTCTGTTGTTTCAGGAGAGCTGAGCAGAGTTGGAGTGATCGACAAAGATTGGCGATAGAGACCAGCACTTCCACGTCCACTGCTCTGGCTCGCATAACTGGCCCGACCCCCTTCTCTGATCTCTCTGTAATCAAGGTCCCCAGGCCGTCCTACCATCCTGTCAATGTGTCTGTATGGCTCCCTCTCACACGGAGGTGGGCAAGGCGGGTAATAAGGGGATGGCCAGCTGATACCCCGTGGTAGGTATGATTTTGGAGGGCCTCTTCTATGATCTATCGGCCTCATGTATTCCCCACGAGAACCTGGCCAGTGTTGGTACTGAGGGGCAGGGATACAGGAGGGCATTGGGACATACTTTGGCTCAGGGGGCCTCATTGTTTCTTCAAATGAAGGTGAAGGCGACCACCTGCTACATTCAGGAAACACTGCAGCTTGTCGACGTGGATCGTAAGGTTCTAGCAGAGGGGAGGTTGACGTTTGTCTAGGTGGGCACATTGCTGATGCAAAGTAGGGAGGACTAACTACAGATCTTTGTGGATGATGGTGAATATGATGTGGTCTTTCTAAACTGCCCATGCTGGGCCTTCTGAAGGGCATGTATTCCCTCCATGATGGCCCTGGCCTCATAAAAGATGGAGGGGTGCGCCCTAAACTATAGGATTTAACTCTGACATCTGAGCTTGGAAACTCTTCCCAATAACTTCTCTCAGAGACATAAGGTCTTGGGCTCTCAAAATGCTCCCATCTCTGAGCACCTAAACTCAGAGATTTTTTCATGAAAGGGTGTTGTGGCCCCATAGCTGAAAGTGTTCTGCATGGGCCAATACTTAATGACTTCTTAAGAAATGGAACAGGGGCTTGAGCTATACGCGACACAATGTTGTTAGTCCTGCTGCCCGGAGAGACGGGTCGTTGTGGTGGCTCTGACAATAACTCACGATTGTCCGCAAAACTTGATGAATGTTTTGCAATTATGCCTGCCATACCTTTAGCTGCACTGTACAATGTATGAGCAGACGACGATCCAAGTCGACACTCTTCTCTCTCTATGCCTGTGTTTCTGTGCCTAGTTTTTTCATTGTAAAGTTGTCGGCAGGTTTTTTCTGGGGCACATGTAACATTTTCATCTGGAAACCTGACCCTGAGTAAAGGTTCTCTAGGCTCATGTGAATCGTCTTCCTCTTTAAGACTTAGTTCAAATCTAACTCCTTTCGGATGTGAATCCGTTTCTTGCTTTTTCACATGACACTCCCAGTTTATAGGAACTACATCTGGCTTAGTTACTGGAGAAGCTCCTTCAGAACTTTGTTGGGTATCAGTTTGTTCACCTTCTACTGGTTCATCCACACTCATTTCAATAAAACCTGGAAGGCTTAGATATTCAAGAATTGCACTTGTTTGCATGGGGGACATTTTTGGAGTCAGCGCTTCTGGTTTAGCTTTGAAAGACCCAGACATTTTGGGGACAGACAACTGAGACTGGTCACTTTCTATTTCTTCCACCAGAGTTAATGTTGTAATCGGACTAGGGCTGCTGGAGATGAGACATTTGTCACTTTTTCTAGACCGCGCTCTCACCCCTTCTGTATCACGCTCATGAATGGGTAAAGTAGAGTAACTCGAAGGACTTGAATCCCTCCTGCATTTAAAATCAACAGTAGCCTTATCTGTGCGAGTAGAGGGCCGAGCAGTGGCCAGTGAGTCCAAAGGCTGCGTACCAGCAATGGACCTTCGATAACTTTCCAGCCTTTTTGGACTAAACGATCTATCTCTCTGAGGCGACTGCAAGTGCATGGCTGGTAGACTTTCTGATGTGACATCTAGCGTCAGTGAAAGGGATGTGTTCTGTGTCACTGGGGAGCGTAGTGTGTCCATGTGAACAGAGTCCTCTGTTTTGTCCCCATTTGTGGCCACAGTTTTTCTGGATGCATTATCTTGCGAATGTTGCACTGGAACAAGACTGGTAAGTGATGTCACAGGGCTTATGTCCCACTGTATACGGGAAGGAGAGAGGCGGTCCATGGGGCTGCTAGTACTTCCAAAGTAACAAGCCTTTCTATAATCTGAGATCCTACTTGTTTGACCAGCTGCTTTGTGTTTCTGCCTAAAAGAAACTTCATGTAGTTTCCACACCGGTTCTTCATCTACTGTAGGTGCCTCTCTCTGGGGGCTTCTTTCCTTCTCTGACTGAGCTCGACTTCTCTGATGGGCTGTGTAAGCTTTCAACTCCTTCTCTATTCCCTCTCTTTCTTCTATGAGCTGAATACACTTGCTGATATGGTCCACCTCCTGTTCATTATCCAGGTGAGAAACTCGAGTGGTCTCCCCATCTAAAGACTCATTCACATTTAGCCTCCCCCTCTCGAGATGTTTGACTCTTCGACCCAAACTGGGAAACATTTCCTCCGTATGGCCCAGTATTCGGTGTCTCCGTAGTGAGTCACTAGGTTTTTTCTCACTGTTGTCAGAGTAGAAACTTGCTCTTTCAAGAAGAGCTTCAGAGCTTTGCTCATCATCTGAGTAAAAACAGCCATGACGAGTGAAGTTTCTGGCCATCGCTCGTACTCTCCCAGGTGAAGAAGAAGGCCTTCCAAGTTCAGGTACATCCACAGTTAGAGGAGAGTTATTTCTTTCCCCCTGGTCTGAGCTCAAGATGCTTGACTTTGGGGATTCTCTGTACGATGTTCGATTGCTCCCAGCATCACTTGCAGTGCCATTACTCTGCAGCACATTTTTTGTAATACAAATCTCCTGTTGTGGTTGCACAATAAAGCGTCCATCTGCCCCTCTGGAGATGGACTCCAGTGCAGTTGGAGATGGGGCTTGGGACCCCAGGTGGCTCTCAAACATTGTGTAGTGTGGAGGTGGAGATGAGTCGGACAGAAGTTGTTTCCGCTGGTCATAGTACTCTCCACGACTGCCTTTTTCAAAAGATAAACGATTGGATTGTGAAGTGGAAACACTGGGAAAGAAAGACAATGGTGGACACAGCTTCAACTTGAGAACGCTGTCTGGGCTCCGAGGAGGTGATGGTGCTCTACAAAAAATGATATAATTTTACATCTAGAAATATTTTACAATTTATAGATTATGACGGTTTAAGTATACACACTGTGGCGCTGTGCTCTTCAGTAAGGCATTGGACAAATCTGACAAAAGATGAGAGAAATAATGAAAACCGTTTCACTCCACATGTGAATGAATGTGCTCAATTAATTCACCTCCTCTTCTCTTTTGTCGACGTTGCCGTCTCCTTTGACTCATATAACAGGCAGTTACCAGAGACAGAACTATTGCCACAAACAGGAAGCACACTCCAGCAATCACACCTGCTAAAAGAGACTCCGGCACCTTTTCCAGAAAACTCGGCCGCAAAGGATACATATCCATCCCTGTAGTGTAGCAGAGTGTTAAGTCATGTTTTATTGACAGTGAGAAGAAGAGTATAATCCTCACCTATTGTAGAGACATTGACAGAATCACTGGGGACACTAAGTAGCCTATTACTGCGAGAAAGAAGTCTGAGATCATAATCAGAATCCTATGATGAACATAAACAAAATAGTTAACCAAAGATAAAAGGAGATAAATAAGGAAATTAATAAAAATCCAGTTACTCTTAAGAGGCCCTTCACAAGGAGTTGACTTTGATTGGCTCCAATGGTGTTGCTGATGATGAGCCACTGGCCCTGGTCTTTGCGAGCCTGTAGCACAAAGCCAGTGAGGGGGGACGAGGGAGCCTCCGGAGCAGACCAACTCAGCACCACACCTTCAGAAGTCTGATTGACCGACAACATCATGGGGGGGTCCAAGGGCAGAAAAGGGGAGAGAGAAGGTGCTTCTGTTGGAAAAGCTTAATAAACAAAGATAACCCATTGAAGTTAAAACTACAAAAACTACATTTTAATAACTGCTTGTAATTGTAACAATCACATACCAATAGTTTGGATAGAAACTATTTCACTGAACGGTCCAGATCCAAGCTTGTTCTGAGGAAGGACACTGAACTGGTAATGTGTACCCGCGAGCAGCCCAGTGACTAACAAGTACTTTTTAGATGTAGGGACAGGCAATGATGCCCATTCATGCTTTCCTCTGGATGCCCTCTTGACCCTTTTACCAATTGAAAAATATAAATAACAATAATTCATATTTTATTGAAACATCTAAGACCATCATGTCTTTTACTCAATTATTACCCACATACCATACAGTAAACTTCTGGGTGAATCCTCCATCAAAACCTGGCACCCAGGAGACATTAGCTTGATTCATCTCTGCTTTTACAGTAACTGAAGATACAGTATGGGGGCTGGTGCCTAGCATACAAACACACAAGTTATTGTATTTAATGAAAGAAGGACAGATACACTATCAGTTTGGTACACTCACCAAGCACCATGACCACAGTGCTGGCGCTAACAGTGGCGACTCGATTAGAGGCCAGGCACTCCCAGCCCCCCTGGTGGTCTTTACTGAGGGGCTTCAGCCAAAGGGAGCCATTAGCCAGCACAGTAAAGGGAGATCGTGGAGTTGGGCCAATCTTCAAAAGACAATACACAAAGTAAAACAGTGCTTATATATATATATATTTACTTACACTTCCTCTACCTTGCTCCAGCTAATGTTTGGGGAGGGGTCTCCAAAGGCTTCACACGGGATTATTAACTCTCTGCCCACCTCCTGCAAGTATTCAGTGCGGGGAGGGACTTTGAAGGTTGGAGGGTCCTGGAAAGAAAAGAACATTTACTGGCTGCCAGCTCAGGAAGTGTTGACAGCACTTCTCTTACTTTTAAAATAACATTGGTTGGTTCAGATTGGCCCATTGTACCGTAAATATTATAGGGTGTACATGTGTACATGCCCACCGCATTATCATTGGCTCGGGCAATAAAAACAGAGCCCTCTGAATTTACCATCCAACCTGGGAACTGAACCAAAAAGAACATTTTAGAAAGAATAAATATAAAATATATTCCTCAATGGCAAGATAACTTACATTGTCAAGATTCAAATGATTTCCATCTTTTGTCCAGTTTACATACAGCACAGGAGGATCTGCCTGAACAGGACAGACAATGACACCCTCCATGCCAGAGGGCAAATATGTCTCCCTGGGCATTCGTGTTACCCTTGCTGGATCTAAAGTGGGAGCAACAAAGCATTTCTGTAATGATCACAATATTACTATACAAAGAGTTCTTAAAAATAATGTCTTTGTATACGTAGGTGTCTGTATTTCCGGTATAAAATAGTTAAATTAGTCAAAGTTGCAAATTTCTTACGTTTTACTTTTAGATGTGCAGAGGCCGAAGGTGGAGTTAGTATCCCATTTGTGGGGATGCAAGTATAGTTACCAGCATCCTCTGGAATCAAATTTGGTATGAGAAGTGTCCCATCCACCAGAACCTTTACCCTGGACTTAAGCGACCTGTAGAGGCAAAATAAGGACAAAATTAATTAAATAATTCAAAAAAATATTCTTATGCTTGAATTTGTAACTTAAAACTCACTCAATATGATAGACATTTTGTCCTTGTTTCATCCACTCATAGGTGAGGTTAGAAGGGTAGGCATCAGCTTGGCACTGCAGCACTGCATCCTGGGACATATTCAGAGTGGTGTCGTCTGGGGAAATTAGGATGATTGGCGGGCCTTGGACAGAAAAACATATAAATATCAAATATATACAAATATGTACAACTTGCAAGTGCAGAGAATTCTAACTAATTTCCAATCAAATTATTAGTATCACTTTTATTAAAATATGTGTACAGGTATGTATGTTTTTTGCTCTGTATGCAATGCATACATAATAAATAAAACATATCAATAGCATAATCCTAAACATAGGGCTTTGTAAAAATGCATATTTGAGTAATCTAGAGGCCATCTCCAAGCCCGCCCGGTACCACCAATAACCAAATCTTTAACCAATCTTTTTCTAAATATCTAAAACCACTGGCAAATTAAAAAGCACTTGCAGAAGTCGGACCTTTGCGCAGTTGCATTACTTTATAATAATCCTGGATTTAGGCGGTGAACCACATTACCTTGAAAATATAGTAATTTGGTTTTTGTCCCTTTTTCCGAGCTTTACTGAAAGGTTTGTATGGTAATGCACCTCATTGGTCTATAGAGGGCAGTGCACACTTGATTGAAGGAGGAGTATTGCAGGTGTCTGACATTACTTTGGACAAAATACTTTTGGAAACATCAGATCAAAGCACAGGGGCTCTTCATTCTGCCCCAGAACGCTGACAGTTCCGACTCTCACCTTTGACCTGCAGCTGTGTGGAGTGGGTAAGATTTCCCTCTGAGTTTGACACGTGACATTTGTAGACCCCTGAAATATTTCTTGTGACCGAAGCCAGAGACAAAGACCCATTGAGCACCTAAAATAAGTCACAGGTTAAAGTCTTTACATGGTTAGTCCTGTATTTAGAATAAACATTTGAAACATAGCATGACATATTTGTAAACTGATGGGCTACCATTTTTATAAATACCACTTTATGTTTAAATGTTGCAAATGTTTTGTCATTCAGAACCCCCTGTTAGCTCTTTTCTATAACTTTGATTTAGAACCAGACCATTTACTGTTGTCCTTACTTTGATTTTCTCATGTTTCTCCACGGGGCTCTCGTCTTTATGCCAGACAACAGTTGGGCGAGGGTTGCCATGAGCTCCACAGCTGAGAGTCAGTGAGTCTCCAAGGAGAACTTCCACAAAAGTTGGTGGAGTCTTGATAAATACAGGTGGAGCTGCAACAGAAACCATTGATTGCTAGTGACACAGAACCAAGTGGAGTAATCTGATTTGTATGTAAACCAGGGGGTATTACCCTATTAACGTTGTATTTCAATCAGTTAGATCTACAGTAAATGCAAGATAACATTTGGCTTAACTTGTGCCTCGGAGAAACCACATGCGGTGAGCAGTTGGAGATGAGACAAGAATTAACAGATTAGAAAACTCTGTCTTTCCTGAACTACATTTATTTTTTTGGTTATAATATAATTGATTATTTATTTACAGTTATTTTTAAGCCAATCCTTGTTTGTGAATTTTTTCCAATGACAATAACAAAAGATTCTTATTCTGATCATATTTTCCGAAAACAAAAATGTTCATTGACTTTTAAATGGCGACTAAGGAGTAGAACAAGGTGCACGTTATTGGAAATAAGTGTGATATATGATGATGTCATGAACTGCAATGATAGATTATTTTTTTCTTATCTTTTTTTCAATATTTTTCTTATCCAAAGGAATCAATCTTTCTAGTTGGACTCAGTAAAATCTTAGTATTTTATCCCACTGAAAAATAACCGTTAAATCATCCCCAACCCAAACCTTAAGCTGAGAGTGACTCAATTGCACATTAAAAATTTCCCTCAGCCCGGAAGGGCAATTTGACTTTTGTCTTGTCTAGCGTCAAATGGCAAAGTGTATGCATGAAAAAACACATGCCATGATATCAATATTGCCATTCAAGCCATTATCGAAATATGAATACATATACACTTTTAGATCAATTGTGCAGCTCTAAATGAAGCCTAAACAAAATTCATTTAAAAGAGGCATAGCTTTAGATGTTCCTAATTTTAAGGAACCAATTACACTAATCTCAGACATGCATGAGAGAATCAACATTCCAAATGTATATATACAGATACCTGTGGTCCAGAATATCTTTTAAAAAGTTGCAAATGCTATTCTATAATATTCATGCAATCAGCAGTCTAACACAAATAAAGTTAGCAGTGATATTGGGGCTCATAACTACTGAATAGTGAGTATGTGTTTGATTGGCAAATAGAAAAATGTTAAGGGCGTCTAAAATGGCTTGTACTTCACTAACACATGGAAGGAGGTGGATGATTTGCTGTTGCTGAACAAAATGTGCTTTAAGAGCCTTATTTAAATAATTGTGTATGTGAAAGAAACATTGAGTGTGCGCCCAATATGCTTAATAATTATCAAAAAGAGAAGGCTATCAATAAAAAAAATTACTATTTTGGCGATGTAAGAGGCCTTTCAATGTGTCATCATAATATGGTGTTTGTCCCATAAATCTCTGAAATGATTCTTGCCAGACGGTGAACTATTCAGGGACAACACCCATGAGGGACCCCACAGTGCTGCACCTGTGATGGAGAGAAAGGTCCATGTGCCATTTTGAAAGTTATCGGTTTTGCTGTCCAAGAGCAGGATTCGGCATTCGAACCATCCCTCGTCCTCCAGGGTCAGTCCCGCCACCAGCAGAGAGGCACCCTGGGTCAAAGACACACGGCCTAAAGGGGCCAAAGGAAACACAGAGTCAAACCAATGGACAGAACAGCAGCATCAGCACATGCAGACACAGGGCCCCACACTAACAAAAGCAACATTTAAAAAGCTTTCAAAAACGTAAGTGTTAACTGGGGGCTCTTTGGAGGTTAATGTATACCTACAAAATAATACAATGCCTATAATCTGAAAATTAGTCACTTTGATCTGCAAGTCCATAACAATTCCAGTGTTGTAAAAGCATTTTGTTTAGACTTTAAAAGAAAATCTAAAGGTCTTTAAAGCATATTTTTACACTGAACTTGTATTCAGGAAAGTTGATCAGACAAAATCAAAATGTTTTAACTGTGACATTACCCCAAATCTATTTTTATGAAGTTTTTAAATAATAAAACATAGACAAGTTTAAGGTTAAAGACACCAAATCAACTTAAAATGAAAAAAAAAAAACCCTCAAAGTGATCTGGACTGTGGTATGTTTTGTGTACTGTTCCAAAGGTTATAATAACCCACTGTTGGCGAGACAGCAAGTGAGGGGGCCTCCACCTTGTTACAACTTTTTTTGGCGGCTATTAGCCCCGCCAAAGAACCATGTTAGGTCTGATCCAAGAAAAGTCATTCATAAGAAGGATAAGGGGAGAGCAGGGAACCAGGCACGACAGGAGGACAGACAGACCACCGGCCACCGACCCTCAGAATAAATAGTAAGGGACCTATGTTGTCAAAAGCCAAAATATTAGTTGTGGCACTTTCCACTAGAAAGCCTGTTTTAACCGAGTAATAACACATTTGTGATCCTTCCAAAAGCAGGCTTTGAAGGAGGTCGTGGAGAGCAAGAAAAGAGAGTACTTGAAAACATTTCAAATAGAAAACTCCAAAAAGAGAGCTTGTTTTTGTTTTGAGTGGGCTCCGCTTGAATGCTTGCACCACTTGTTTTGAGCACTTTGAAGAATGAAATCAAAATAAGAGCGTAGACCATCAGACACTGCTGCTCTCCTTCTTACAACTCTGTGTCCGACTTTGAAACTTGATCGGCCGGTTGCCTGGTGACTGAAGCCTGGTATTAACCCCCCCACTCCCCATCTTTTTATTCTGTCTCTCAACAAACTCTTTTTACCCCTTCAATCAGTGGGCTTTTAAAGACAGGAGGATGTATGGACCAGGAAGCAGAATACATGCTCATACCAGACCCTTGCTAAAGCAGTGCAAAAGTAAACTGCTGTCTTTGTTAGTTCAGACAGCGAGGTATGGATCAATATTATGAACAACCTGCAATCAATCAATCTTATTTGTAGAGCACTTTACAACAGTCAAAGTGACAAAAGTGCTTTCCAATGAGCTCATTCAACATTTACAACTAGTTTGGTTTACTCAATATTTTTAACACATTTGTTTTTTATTTTAAACAAGAATGTTTTGCCAATGTGGTAAGAAAAAAATCCCATTACCCTATTATGTTAATTGTTTTACTTCTAGCTAAAGCTTTTTTGTAACTCGCAGAAATGCCTTCAAATGAAAACAATATTTTAATCTAGGTCACACCCCACCCCCCAAAAATCTATCCAAGTTTAATCCTACATTCATCATTTAAGAATGGTTGATGAGAAGTGTTTAAAATGGGTTAAAATGACACTACTATAATGCATTTTTATAACACAGGTTTGCTGACTTAACAATGAGAAGCCAAATTGAAAACTCCATAATAAAAATATAAATACAATAGTAATTATTCAATACAAAGCTGAACATTTTAAGGAGAAAAAATGGCTTTAGAAGGGGTGGGAAATCATCAATAGCTTTATGACCAGGCTAAACTCAGACTCCAGACTGACAACAATAGCTAACAATTAACTCTGCATTCCTGACTGGGGCCGTTGCAGAGTTTAATGGGCAGTTTAATGATTGACTGACCCCTCAAACTAAACTCACATTGGATGGGCGGCGTTCACCTGAAAGCCCTGAAAAAAGGAGGCCTCCATTCTAGGTCAATATCTTTTAAACCTGAGGAATGTGTGAACGAATGGCAGCAGGTAGAAGGAAGAAGTAGTAGAAGAAAAAAATCTATTAGTTGTATATGTGATTCTCTCTGTCCATTTCCTTTTCCGTCAAGTTAAGCAATGTGTCAAAGAATGTAAAAAACGAAATACTGTACATGAAGAATAAATAACATTGTAACTATAATTACACACACTCCCACCCAAAACCATTTCCATACATTCACACATCTTTACAGTCTGAATTGTACTGTTCAGTTCATTTTCTAGTGGCTCAACTGTCATTCATTGATGAGCCAAAAGACAAAAGTACAAATCCACAAATTAGTAATGAATGGTAAAATGTAATGAATTGCTTTAACACCTGCAATTGCAAACACAACAAAATAACAGCAGCAATGCAGCTTATGCCAAATCCTGCTTATAGATCAGTAGTCTGGCCATGTGGTTCAGAAGCACGTGGGGGTCTCTACATGTTGATTTTCAAATGTGAGGTGAGCCCTGCCCCCTGGACCTCCATGGAGGAAGTCTCATTTCACTGTGGGCACTTAACCCTTTCCCGGAGCCTCTTGTCCATCACCACAAAGAGCCCGCCCCCACTCCCCATTCCCCAGCGTTTCCATGGTGACTGTGGGGTTAGATTTGAATTGGGTTTCTGTAGAAACATGGAAGGATCCAACATGGACATGGGCGTGTCAACCACATAATATGGAGGTGGGTTTTACTGCCATTTGAAAAATTGGATGAAAACATGTTTAGCTTTGAAAGTACCATTGTGACGCACTCGAAAAGAGAGGGCCATGGTTTTCTCTGCTGCTTGTGGGCAGACAATAGCCTGATGCTGGGTGACTAATGTTGCTTTCTTTAATCGTGAATACCACAAAATATAACAATGCACCTGCTCTGTGAGAAATACACATCTAGCATATTTTTTACTAAATTTGGATATTTCTTGTATACTCAACATGCATAAAACACATGTAATGTGTATTACACTACATTCACATAAAGACTGAGGTTACAGAGAGTGTGCACATCGATAATCTACTGACAATAACCAATGTGTCGCTGACCCTCCTGACCCTGTGACCTGCAACTCCCCATCAGACACATTCATCACTACTCCTAGTTCAACACAGAACAATATCCACGAGTTGTCTGAGAGCCAAATCTTGCGAGAGCCTGTTTGAACAGAGAATGGGTGAAACAATAGCCCTCCTCCTCATCACTGTTATTCCTCCAGGAGCTATCACATGACATGCCTCTCTGTCGTAAAGTGAGTCCTGCTCCATCAGCTCGAGCTGCAGTGGGAAGGGAAGGGAAGAAAAGGCACCGCTAATCCAACAGTTGTGCGTGAACCTGTACATTGCACTCTTTTCATATTAGGCAGAGTCAGGCTCTCACCCAGTGGGTGGCAGGTTAAGGATAACTGTGCTTTAGAGCCTCGCCGCCGGCTGAGCCTCGTCTCACGGTCCCTGATCTTCTTTATTCACTAGATATTGATATGGCCCGCTCAGCAAGTGAAACCACCAAACTGAAATGAGTAGCTGTGACATAACCTCACTCATCATGGGTAGAGTATACTTGTATTGACCAAACCCTTTTACTTTCTGTGATTCCTATGGTTTGCAGTATCATAAATATAATGGTCATGTGCCGTTTTTAACTGCTGTTCTCACCGTTACTCAGTGAATAGTGAAAGTGGGGTCGATGGTGAAACAACATACACACAAAAGCAGCTTTACCAACGAGGAAGACGGATGATACTGTTTTGAGAAGCATCAGCTCTGCTGTTCTTTGTCCATATCCGTATGTGTAGTAGAAAGCTGGGCAGAGGTGCATTGTGGGTTGTGTTTTGATTTGAATACAATCATAAGTCTGGGGGCCAGCCCACTGCTCTGACAGCACTCCCCTCCCACTCCCCAAATTTCTCCCTTCAATCCTCCTGTCTCCCTAATCAGTTTAACCCTCTTATGAATAGCTCTTTGTCGTGAGATAGATTACAGTTAACTCTGTCCCTCTCACTCTATCCGGCTCGTTCACCCCTCGCACCAGCACTTACCCCACGTGCCAACTTTCACTTTATCTGCAACTTCATCTGACAAACTCCACTTTTTTGCAACAAAATGACCAACTTTATAGAGCCAGCGTAAAAAGCACTGGCACTTAATCAGTTATAAGTGTATAATAAGTTAGTTACACGCTTACTGCTGACCTGATAGATTCTCACAGTCTGTGAACTGGCTGCTACACGCCTCAGGCACGAAGATGTAATGACCTTCGTTTTAACTCGATAACCGTGAAGTCTCCAGGCACAGGTCTATTGTGACATTCTATTCTCTGAGGCAGGAAATCTGGTCGGTTTAGATCAAACATAGCATGACTATAGAAAAGCACTCAGTGTGCTGATCTGTGAAAAAAGGCGCAATTTCATTCCTTAAAAAAAAAATCCTAGATCCGGATGGTGATGCAGATCATATCAAAAATTGAATTATTTGTTCCTTGTCCCAATTTTGAGCTATACTGAAACTCTTATTAATATCTACCCATAACCTATTTAAGCTGTCTTGCGAATGGAAAAACCTAACCCCCAGGTTGGAGGTAACAATGATACAGTAGAAGTTTTTGAAGTACTCATTTTAGAGGCATAAGTAAAGAATGTAAGAAGGCCTAACACGAGACTAGTTTCAAATGTAAAATTTGTACTGGCTTCAATTATTAACATATATTATAGATTACAACTGTACGGCTCATGTGTCTATAGTGGGTAATAATGTCTTCGGCTGTCTTGTCATGTAGATTTAGTTCAATTTAATTTCTAGCAGAGAAAAAAAATTAAGATGATGAATAGCAGTCTTTGAAATATGAAAATTCATGTATGATGATTTGGTTGGATATAACTAGTTCAGTGTATGTTCTCATTTGAACTTTCTAAATTGACTGTGTGTCCACTAATGTAAGTGTGTGCATGTGTCTCCTTGGATTTGGAGAGGTCACACTAACTGAAGCTGGGAGCCTGCTGGGATCTGGAGGTTTGTCCATTGTTAAGGTCAGAATCCCCTGCTCAGTGTCTCTGCTCATTTCATTTATCTGGAGTGATGCATTTGATCTCAGAATATAATTAAAACAAGAATGATATGGCGGGACTGTAAAGATAAACCAGAAAGATGTAATGCTGAACCAAAACTTATGTCCAATATTCTTAAAATAAAATAAAAAACACATTTTGATTATTGCATACGTTTTTACTGTTTTTGTGTATTTTTTCAACTGACCTTTATTTAACCAGGAAAGTCCCAGGGACTTCAGGGGAGTCCTGAACCCAGACAGGGGGTAGGAAAAGGGGTGGGGGGAATTTTTTCACAAGTTTTTAGTGGTAGGGGAAACCGGAGTACCCGAAGGAAACCTGCGCAGACATGAGGAGGCCCCATCTAGAGGTGGAATCGAAACGAGACGAGGACCTTCTTGCTGTGAAGCAAAGCGCTAACAAACATAGTGTGTTTATGTTTATTTTCCCCGACAATGCTGTTGGTGCTGCGGCTGCTACGTAATACCTACGACGGATCCCCCTTAAGCAGACAGGAGAAGCTCTCAGCCAGACCCTGACCGGCTGCTGTCTAGGGGTCAAGAGACACAGCTCCGTGTACAACATTTTTTTCAAAAGGTCAGTGCAAAATGCACCCAATATAAAAATGGTATTTAATTTTAATTAGACCTAGATAAAGCTGAAAATACTGTTGACATTTGTAGAATTAGTTTTTAAATGTAATTAAAATCACAGCACACACAATACGTGTGTTGAAGTCCGTAAATAGTGCAGCTAAAATAGTTACCAAGTATTGAAAAACTTGATTAGTTGCAATATATCGATCAATTGCTACGACTGAAGCTATTCGTTTGATGTGAAACTAATTTCTGTTTCACACCAATGGTGTGCCATCACTGCTCTGAGGCCAAAGTCTGTTTTGGCATTAGCCATTAAAAGTATTGCATAGAATATTTTATATTTTAGTTTAAATTTTAAATCATAAATTTTAAATCATACTTTTCCTAAAATATGCAGAAAACAAAGTAAAAACTGCAACCTTAAATAAAACTGTTGAAATATTGAAAATAGCTGAATACTACATAAGAGCCAAGGGAAAAACGTAGCAAACCATCAATCTTGCGATTCCCTTGGAATTTATAATGAGACATCTATAAAGATCCACATGTCTTACTCCTAACTAAGCTTATAATTACCGCTCCTAAAAGCTGTGCTCTCTCTCTCTTCCTTCTACTTCTGATCTCAGGCAAGCCAAGGCAAGTACCAGGAAATACTACTCTCTCTGCAGGTTGTATGGTTACATCTAAAATCCCCCCCTTTTAATTTGAGGGTAGAATACATTACATATATGGCACTGACACGCTTGCACACAGCCATCTGCCTCTGGAGGGAGGGAGCGGTGAGGATCTAAGGCAGACAGGGTAAACCCTCAGCAGAAGGAGCGAGTATGGTACAACACAAGCGCATACCAGAGCCTCACGTGCCTACTATGTTGTTTACATCATTATGACTGATGACTGCATCGAAACAATAACATGCTAACGGTCAAGCTTGTTTGTTTGGCCTTCAATCAATGTACAGTTAAAGCTGGAGTACCTAACAACAAAAATGAAACCCTTCTAACTATCTCTCTAAACTTGGTTCTATCACTATATTCACATGCTATAAGTTTAGATCACCTTTTTTAGTGAAAAAGAGTACCGTCCCTCACTCAGCCAATCAGCTACAATAGCACATATACAATGTTTTCTATTAAGACAAAGACAGCCTCATGTGGACTAATTTTTCAGTAAATATTCCTTAGCCCTTGTGCTATCCTTGGGTACTAAAAGGGTCTAAAGATCCGGTGCTGATCAAGTTAGGAAACCACATCAAAATACACCTAGATTTTTATTTATGTAGTGGCGGGTCAATTTGATCCAAGGATAGAACTATACAAGACTCCTGCTCCTTTTGGGACAAGCAATTTTTAATGTAGAAAAATGCTTTAACGCTGCAATTTCCCCATAAATATCATTTACTCAGATAATTTAAAAATGATTTACTAAAAAATCTAAAAAGACATCTACCATACCTTATTCCAACTAAAGATACATGATTATGTTATTTCTATTGTTTTGGGGCTAAAATCCTTGTACTGTATATGGCAGGGCTTAGTACATTTGATTGACCTAGATGAAACTATATGGGATTTTGTGTGCCCCAGCTTCTGCTGAGCAAGTGGAGGTTGTGATACCCCTCTTTGTTTTTTGCCCTATGCCAGACAATGAGTGGATTATATGGTTGCAGTAAGGAATCCAGCATCTTTTCCTATGTTCATCTTTTCTCCTTCTAGCAAAACAAGCTTACTGGGTCACCCTCTCAGCATACTAATAAAACAACATCATCAGACGACCAAGCCCCCACCCAAACTCCTAATCCCCCCTAACGTTACTGATGCCCCCCTTTTTCTGCAAAGCCTCCCCAACCCCCTTTAACTGCATCCATCCATTCCGGCTCTTCCTCAGCTCTTTACACTTGTGCTGCAGTCTGGAAGTGCACAGGACACCCACAGTAATAATTGCAGGGCTCTTTTTAGTTGGATTAACGTTAGGGGGTTCTGCTTGATCCAACTTCCTCTTCTTTTGGCAAACCGGTGGAACATTGTTTAATCTATCTGTGCCAACAAAATGCATCAAAGAGTGAAGGAACGGTATAATTGTTAGTTATTAGTGTGTAGGGATCATACTCAACAAACTTAAATTGTCCTCATTTTTAGTTACTATATCAATATACAAATATGTTAATGGAAGACTTGGTTTGTTTTTACCCTTGTAGTTTGGATGAACTCGCGGGGCGTACACTCCAAATTTAATCAGAATGGGAACGTTGTAACCAAGTCGCACCCATTCCACCACATGCAGAGGGAAGAGGTTTGGGGTGGTTTCTCCATTGGGTATAGGATTGAGGTTACAGTCTAGCTTTGCAGATCCCCCTTCACGAGCTTGGACCAGGGTGGCCACACCTTGAGACACACCTGCAACGACAGCAATGTATTACAGATGCACTTGAACAGCAGCCAATAAAGCAGTGGACATATGGACTCAAGTCCTTTTAGGATACCAGTAAGAGTAAATATTTGTCTGAGATAGTCATGAAAGCATATAATTTCTCTGTGGCATTTCTCCCCACTGTATAAAAAGGAGAGGCACATTGGAAGTAAATTAATAAAAATGTAACTATGTAATAAACACTCTCACTCTCAAAATAGTTTAGTTCCATCACTAGTCTTCATATGAATATTTGGGACTAACTTGGGACTAAAAAGTATCATTTATGAGAGAACAGATTGGTATCCCAGCCTTAACATGAGTTGAGTTTTTTTTCCCTTCTTCTGTAGGCTTTTTTTAAAAAGTAGGGGACTCAAGAGAAACATTTGATAAGATCGTATATCAGCAAAGCCTGCACACACACTACAATTCCATTAGTGGCACCTGGAGCTCACTCTGGTGACTGGGTGCTTTGTGCCATGTGCTGACGCCAGCGTGTGCGACTTGGTGCCAGTGCTGCGTCTCTCATCTGGCTGCTGATTACTGTAATCTCCAAAGGGAGGGGTCATGGTGCCGCTCTGATGCAGGACACCAGGCCACTCGCGTCCACATCCCACCACCCCCTGGGGTTTACACACATGGTCTGTGGACCAGCTCAATCAATCTGGTCCCAGCCCACCCTCGCAAACACGCACCAAAAGTGTGCCTAAGGTTGGGGGTAGCACAAATCCCAGCTTGATCTAAATCCACAACCAGATATTATTTAAGTTGGATTTTGTCCCCATTCTCTGTTTTGCCCCCACCCCCCTCTCACTCTTTACTTTCTCCACAAAAATGTTTGTGTTCATGTCTTAGGAATATTACAGGTAAGATAATTATTAAAATTGGAAAGACATTTTTTTTAAATAATTAGAATTAAATTGTAATAGCAAACTTAGATTACTATACATACTGTAAAAATATGTTTGCAAATCAGCCTTCTGTTCTTGGCATTGCAAGTTATTGTCAATAGAATATTACTTTTAACCTAACCTGTATTAAATCTGGGGATTCTAACGGTTTTGTTTTGTTAATCCAGCAGACTCTGTTGATCATCCAGTCTTCTGAATATAGATGGTGTGCAAACATCAATCACAACATGCTGCCGTGATCTTAATAGAAAACATTTCCTCTTTTGCATAAATGTAAGAATGAATCCGATGAGTTACTATTTGATGCTCTGAGCTGAGAGGTAATTGGGGGCGGCCCACTCTTTTTAATTTCTGTCCCGAAAAGCTGATCCAAAGATGTGCAAACTAGTGATAGAACCAAAGTGTTTTGAGAGTGAGGAACTTGTAGCTGGATATCATAGTTACATTTGTTTGCTGTTTGAAGGTTAGGTACGCCAGATTTATTTTAATCAATTAATCAAATAAAGTATACTTACTAAGCAGACATATGGCTACAGCGGTGATGACAGCCTGAAGCCACTGTCTCTCCTGTCCCATGGCCGTCCTTCACACTCCTTCACATATCTCCCAACCTAAAAGGCAAGAGCAGCACCCACTTGAGTCCAAGCAGTACAACCTCAGCCCCTGCTTTTCATCTCAGATACACTGTGTAATCTCTTTTAATGTAAATTAATAATTTTACATAATCCTAAAACTCAGATCCAGATGTGCTTTGCTTAATAAATACATTCATGTTGGGAAAAAAACTCTGTAAGCTTCAGTAAAACTGTATGTCTGAGATGTAGTTGGATTAAGTCAAATAGACCACTGATGCAGACAGAGTTGGCCACAGACCAACAGGCACAAAAGTCAAACAAATTAACAGGGAGATTATTTAACTTAATTCTGTTTCAACACAAAGTATCTTTGGAGTAGAGTACAAAATGTTTATTTATCAAATCTTTCCAAAATGGTGTATGGACTGTAAAGTGACCATATGTAAATGTCACTGCACTGCATGTTTTTTCAGTACATCCCAATGGAAAAAAGAAAGTTACTTTATATTTTTTATAACTATTCTTGGGTATCATATTAAGTAATGGGGCACAGAGGAGTACTAGTTAATACTAGGGACTACAAAGAATGTTTCACATTATTGTGAAAACATTCTGTAACAAAAAAGGTGTTTTATATTTAGAGACACAATTACAACCTGGCTCAACATTATAAAGAATATTTCATTATAATACATTAGACAATTAACCTTACTTAACTTAAGAATGTTATTCTTACACAGAAGGTTTATTAGGGGGAGATAAACACAGGTTTAATGCAAGCTTGGTCATGTGACCACCTCTCCAAAGTAATCCATATGTGAATTCCTTGTCATGATCAATCAAGTCTTTATCGCTAAACATCTTACTTGCATTTAGTCATGTTGCCTCTGAGTTCAAAACAGAGTTTGCATGTTCTTCCCTTTGCTCCGGTTTCACCAATTACTAAAATATTTACTATGGATGAAAACTAACTTATGAGCCAATTCCAGTGTATTTCCAGTTGCATTCACTTGAAAAGTCCTAAATAAATGAGTGTAACTCCTCCAGTACCTTCCGCTGTTTTGAGCACATTATTGGGAATGAGTTGGTGGGAGGCTGTTAACCACTATAACTTGAAGCAGTTGTTGCAGCATAAGTAAAGCCAAGGAGCAAACGCAGTCTTCACACTTCACTTGATCTTACTGCTCTCACGTGCAGCTTCTGGACACCGAGGTGTTTTACTGGATTTCATTGACACAAATTGCTGTGGACCTTGCCATGACTTAGCCTTCTGGACGGAGCATTTGTAAATACAGGACTAATCCTGGCTTGCTGCAGGAGCAGGAGTGTTAATAGTGTCACCGAATTAGAGATCAAATTAAAATCAAGGTCATAGTTATTGGGTTGTGGTTGTCTGCGGGTGTGATGAAGCCCCTGTCACAACAACAGCTGGTAAGCCTCAGTGCTTTTGAAATATGGATGAGCTGCATTAATTCTTGTCAACTAGTCTACTAATTATTATTATAAAATTTGCCAGGCAAAAAACTTTGACAATGCCTTATTGAGCAGTGCATAGCCTGCTAAAAGTATGAACTGCTTTACGACTATTTGCAATAAACAAAATAACATGAGTACAGAAACATTGTACCCATGTACAGATCTGGGTGATGCTGACAGATACAGGGCTCATAAGGAGTAGAATTACTCCTGAGCTAATCCCAGCTAATCCCAACACAGCATATACTCTCAGGGCAAACCCTCAAGGGAAGGAACTTCTTGGGTCACTCACACACAATGAACGTGAAAGATTTAGCAAAGCAGCTCACACCTGCACTCAGTCAAGTGCAGCAGTCGAACCCACTCAGAAGCACATCAGTAACAATCACAACTCCACTGGTTGGACCAGCATGCACAGCAGACATCGATTCATAGATCTGCGCCTCGGCTGGCACACCAACCGTAATGATTTATTTTATTGATATAGTTTAGCCAAGGGAAATGAAATGGGCACGCACTGGGCGAGGTCTCGTGAGCTGTAATATTGTGTCAATACCCTAGTAAAATGGTAAATTGACTGGCTTTGAGCAAATATATATATATATATATATATATATATATATATATATATCCTTATTGTATAGTATATAACTATACAATAAGGAGACACTTGGTTAAGTTAAAATTGTATTGTCCATCTCTGGTCCCAGTTCTGACTCTTTAGTTGCAGAAACCTATAATAAATTATTGGGCCATGATAATGATAAAAAAGAGCCCTTGCCCCTGGCCTTGAGGTTGTTTTAAATTCAGGTAACAACATATGTGCATATGTCTTGGGACAGCCGATTCCTAAATTGGAGTTACCTCATGAATAATTTGTTTTTCCAGGCCTTCAATTGATCACTCAGTGCTGACACCACTGTACACAGAGCACAACGCTGGAGCATAAAACAGACTGATGAAAGAGTCGAGCAGGAACAGAGGCGAGTAAAAATTGAATACCAGTTATGTGATCCTTCATGAGATCACTCTGACTAATCAATAAACTAATGGAAAAAATCAAAACCAGGAAAATTTAGGAAGCAAGTTGATTATTATATAGTTGAAGTTGATTATTCAAGCAGCACAATAACTTCATTAATAATAACTGAAAGCTGAGAAAAACGCAGGGCATAGTCTACAAAACACATGCTTGTGTTCTGCATCGCTATAATGGATGATGCTCCTCCATGTCACCATCCTGTAAGAAAACAGGTGCACCTATTGTCCGACCCAGTCAAGCAGGAGGCCCTGCTGTACCCACATATAATGAAGCATGTGTCTGTATGCTTGTTTTCACGGCCAGGCAACAGCAAACCAAATGGCGTTCACCACTCAGTCCATCTGTAATATAAAACGCCCCCTAACAAATGATTCATGAAACAAAAGCAACTAATGTCACATGTACCGGCAATGCATGTCCCAGGGTTGTGCTGCTTGAGTCCATGAAGCAATCCAATTATATTTTATTCTATTAAATTAAGGGGGGCGCTGATATTCCTTTAGTTACAACAGTGTTATAACCTCGACATGCTTAGAAAAGAATAGCATGCCAAAATCCAACTGTATATCTAAAAGTTTGATTTTGGAATAGCTCATTATAAATCGTCTTCCCTTCCTTTAATTCTAAATAATGTTATGGATGCTCCAGATATGAAGCTCTACTCACCTTGCTCGGGGCACTTTTCCACAAATCGTAAAAAATCTCTTCAGTCCATTGAACTTATTTTGTCCCTGTAATTAACTATTTAGCCTTTGGGAGATGGTAAAGACAATAAAAAGCAGGTGTTCACATTCTTGCCCAGAGGCGTAGGGAGATTAAATTCACAGGACAAATGTTTACAAAAGGCAAAAACGCGTGTAATCCAGTGGCGCGTGGGTCCGGATTTAAAAAGCGAACGTGACCGTAGTACGTCCGTAAACAAAACCACATTTAAAGTCCATATACACTCTCTTAGCTTGTTCCCATCGCGCTGTCCACTGTCCACGTCAGCTGCAAGTAGATCCAATTGAATGCGTTAGTTTAACATGTATTGTTTTGATGGAATGGAACGAAAAATGGTCCGATGTTTCCTCTAGAGTAGACTGGTCCCATTCCTGAAAAAACTAAACACAGAGCACGTTTTCTCCGCCTCCAAGAAAAGAGCATGTATGTGCTGTAAAGAGAGAAAGGTGACCACTGCTACTTCTGCTCAGCGCCTTCACAATAAAGGCCCACAGCCACCAAGAGGAGATTTAGAGCTGCGACTCTTTTGCAATTGGATTTGAATATTTAGAGTCTTCTGTGGAATAGTAAAGCCCAAATATAACAAACGTGTAAACTATTTTAAAATAAGTGTTGAAAACTTGCACAGAACCAAACAAATGATGTAGTGGGTGCAGGCTAATATTCAGAAATATGCACACATGTCCATGGTTTGTTACTACAGGTGAGTGGGGCATTGCTAGTTAAAAGGGTTTAGTTCAAACCTGCACAAAAACAACAGTAAAACAGTTCAGTAGTTTATCATTTATTTTGTGACTCTGGAGCTATTTCCGTTTTTATGTTTGTCTTGTTGTTTTTTCCGCGGCGCAGCTTCAGACAAAAGCGCCTTTTTCGTGGGAAAAAAACGGATTGGCTCGAAAACCCTTCGCAGATAGCAGAATGTATTATTATTGAATGGTTACGTTTGCTTTGAAATAACTTAATATTTACAGTCTAGGGGAATAACACATATTTCAAGAAAACAGTACATTATACACAAAATAAGAGAGCTTGGGCTTTTGAAAAAGACCTTCTTTGGGAAAAAAATACAGGTTCAGTCCAAAATACGAATAAAAGGTAAATAGACCTGCACCAGACACAAACAAATCTGAATCAAACTTCAACTTAATTTTTCATTTCTTCGTGCATTTTTGTAATGTAATCTTTGGGAATGAATTACCTTAGATATGTGCACATGTCGGGCAACTGCGGTGATTTCATCCATGCGCAAAGTCCAACAGGTCTCGGTCCGGTGCCGTTTGACTTTTGACCAATCATATCCCTTGCTTCCACAAGGGGGCGGCTGCCCTCACTAAACATATACCCCATCCATCCATGATGCTTACGGTCTATGGATTCTCCCCACACTATCAGATGATTAAAATAAAAAATAAAATAAAGTATAAATTATCTTATACAGTACTTACACTTCATTTTGCTTCAGAGCAGGTGACAGGTAAAAGTTGTAACATTACATGCCACTGTTTCCTGGTTTGACTTGAATTTTGTGACGTTCCAATTCCATTGTTCTCCTTGTAAATTGAACCTTCTAACTATCAAATGTGCTCCTTAGTTATTGAGTTTGTTTAGGAGAAAATGAAAGACTGAACATTCTTTTCACTAGACTTTGAATTGTGTCTAAGTGGGCGACACGGTGGCTGAGTGGAGAGCACCGTCTGAATCCCGGTTGGGGCCTTTCTGAGAGGAGTTTGCATGTTCTCCCCGTATCTCTGTTGGTTTCCTTTGGGTGCTCCGGTTTCCCCTACCACTGAAAAAAAAGGTATAGGCAACAATTCCCCAACTGCGGTAGTCCTGAACAAAGCCGAGCATCAACGTCTGCCGATGGGTGCCTGGGCTCGGTATTACGACGACCACTGCTCCTGATAGAGGCCCCCAGCGGCAATGAAGGATGGGTCAAATGCAGAGGACAAGTTTCCTAACAGGACAATAAAGTATAACTAACGATCCCTGATTTGTTCCGTCTTTGTTAAAGCTGACGGAGTTCCTAACTTACAAACCACAAAGACAGGTAACTGTAGTCACATCCATCTAATTAGTTCCTCACTTTCCAAACAGTGTAGCACTAACACCAATTTATCGTTAGGCCTTATGACATTTGTAGATCAGCTTTATCAGATGAAAAAGTCAAACTCACAGTGCTCTTTCTTACTTACAACTGATGCCAAAGAAACAGCATGTTTGATTTGCTCACAAAAACACTTTTAACTGTAACTTTCCCAAGACTCTTTCTGTTTTGTAAGATAAAATGTACTATTTATGAGGGGACATTACGTAATCCATCTTTTCATCAAGTTGCCATACAAATATACAGTAATATTTACGTAATCTCATAAGCACTTTAACAGGGATATGAACCTGAGCTCTAAAATTTCTCAGCGGTCTACATGAGCCTGAAATAGGGAAATATAATACCTGCAAAATAATAGAGTGAAATGAGGTGAGAGTCCTACTTTTTCCAGACTGGGAAGCCTTAACAAATGCAGCGCTTACCTCAGACATACGCCCTGTAACAGTAGGGGCTCTTGTGCGTGCCAGGTGAACCATATGGAGATCAAAGGATTGGAATTAATCACAAGGAATCTACCAAGAAGATTTAACCCAGTAAAATTTGTCTAACAGACCATATGAAACCATGTACATTTTCGACTACATTTATTTTTGTTCTGTGATACATTCAATTGTAATTTTGTATTTTACAATAAAAACAGAACATCATGTGGCAAATAATATACGAAAAAAATTATATACAGGCAACTGGAGATTTGTTTAAACATGTGTATACGTCTATAATGTCAATTCCTTTCCAAACAATGTTCTCAAGCAAAACCGTCATTACGACATTAAAAGTGATTGAATCTAATCATCAAAATCCGGTATATCATCATAGGAGTATCCTGGATAACCTTTTGATGCATAGTAAGCGATCCGTAGATGGTAAATCCCCGGGAGGAAGACGAGGATTCCAATGATGAGAACAGGCACAGTTCTGTCTGAATGCTGAAGATGGAACAGTGTGTCAAGTGTAATGCAAATGTACAATTGATGTCAACTTTGTGAGAAACTTACAGTGACTCCAAAGTACCCGGCGAGGAGAAGAGAACCGATGACAATTAACAAAGACCCTATTAAGAAGAGCACAGCGGCAAGGGCGATGGCTTTGTACGGCACTTTGGGTGGGCTCTTTTTGAACTGCAAAGATGGAAAAGTATTTAATTAAACACACAATACATTTGTTCTCCACTTATAAGGGGGTATAATAATCTTAAAGGATAAAAAAGAGGGTAACTTTAATTCCCCAATGGGCATTCCTCTATATGTTAACTTATGTGAACCCAACAAAGTGATGCTTTAAATAAAGTAGACGCACTTTGGGCTTTTGGAATAAGCTTAGTTGGTGGAGACTACATGCACAGAGAATAGATATAGATGCTGGCATGTATGAAAATACCATTTTATAGGCACAAAAACTCCACAGTCCAACCTTCATCACACATTACACAAGTTGACAGCCAAAAAATGGTCAGGGGTTTCTCAACTGATTTAGACTAATTTTAGTGTTCTGAGCCCGAATATCACATGCATTTTGCTCTATCAGGTCAACTTTTTGAGATACAGCCATAGTGTTACGGATTACGTACGTCTACGTTATTATGAATTCTGCTTATCAAATTTGATGGAGTAAATAAAAACTGAATGACTTTGGATACGTTGACTTTTATTTCTTGAGGAAAATGGAAAAAACGTCAAGGGTTTCTCAGCTTCCACAGAAATTAGTTTTTTACGCAAAATGCAAAATCGATTTAAAAAAAAAAATTCTGTAGCAAAAAATCCTGACCTGATTGAGCAAAACCAAGGTAATTTTTGGACTCAGAGCATCAAAATTAGTCTAATTCAGCTGGAAAACCCTGGACTATTTTCAAAAAATATTTTTTTGTTACCCAGTGTTATAATTACATTGTTAATGCTCAATGTGTCACGCATATATGGAGGCAATAAAATACTTCTATATACAGTGGGTCAAAATGTAAGAACAAGAATAAGAGATCGTTTATTTGTCCCACAGTGGGGAAATTTCAATTTAGTCAGCCAATTGTGCAAGTTCTCCCACTTAAGTTCTCCCACTTAAAAAATGAGGGAGGTCTGTAATTTTCCTCATAGGTATACCTCAACTATAAGAGACAGAATGAGGAAAAAATATATAAATCATATCATGGATTTTTAAAGAATTTATTTGCAAATTATGATGGAAAATAGGTATTTGGTCAATAACAAAATGTTCATCTCAATACTTTGTTATATACCCTTTGTTGGTAGAGCTCAAACATTTTCTGTAAGTCTATACAAGGTTTTCACACACTGTTGCTGGTATTTTGGCCCATTACTCCATGCAGATCTCTTCTCAAATAGACTACATAGAGACAGCATCAGTTTTAACCACAAATTTCTATTTTGGTTTTATCTGACCATATGACATTCTCCAAATCCTCTTCTGGATCATCCAAATTCTCTCTAAAAAACTTCAGACGGGCCTGGACATGCACTGACTTAAGCAGGGGGACACGTCTGCCACTGCAGGATTTGAGTCCTGCTGGCGGTGTAGTGTGTTACTGATGGTAGCCTTTATTACTTTGGTCCCAGCTCTCTGCATGCAAGTCATTCCCTATATGTCCCCCCATGTGCTTCTGGGATTTTTGCTCTGTGTTCTTGACATCATTTTAACTCCACGGGGTGAGATCTTGCGTGGACCCCCAGATCGAGGGAGATTATCAGTGGTCTTCTTGTATGTCTTCCATTTTCTAATAATTACTCCCATAGTTTATTCCTTCACACCAAGCTGCTTACCTATTGCAGATTCAGTCTTCCCAGCCTGGTGCAGGTCTAAAATTTTGTTTCTGGTGTCCTTTGACAGCTCTTTGGTCTTGGCCATAGTGGAGTTTGGAGTGTGACTGTTTGAGGCTGTGGACAGGTGTCTTTCAGACTGATAATGAGTTCAAACAGGTGCCATTCATACAAATAATGAGTGGAGGACAGAGGAGCGTCTTAAAGAAGGAGTTACAGGTCTGTGAGAGCCACAAATCTTGCTTATTCGTAAGTGACCAAATACTTTTTCCAACATAATTTGCAAATAAATAATAAGATGAGGGAGGAATGTAATCTTCATCATAGGTATACCTCAACTATGAGACACAGAATGAGATTTTTTTCTTCCAGAAAATCAAATTGTCTGATTTTTGAGTGGGAGAACTTTCACAATTGCCCCACTGCCGATAAAAGACATTCATAAATGGACAAAGGAAGAGTCTTGCCCAAAGACTTAACAACTGGCTATTTTTAACTGGAATTGAATCCTTTTTCAGATTGAGAGGTATGGTGGTTGACATTTCTTTTAACTTGTAATCGGTCTAAATGCGAAATACAACCATTTAAAAAGAAACATATTTGCAAACAAATAGCTTGCGTTCATGTGACGTCACAATATTCCGAAGACCCTATAGTTTAAAAGTGTGGTGATTAATCTTTCCTGGTAACTATCTTCTAGTCCTAGTATAATTCCCGGGCCAATCCACATGAAACAATCCACTGTCTCTATATTATTTGTCAGTATATACCTATGATCTAAATATGTTTTGATTAGCTGATTAGGAGTGGTGACAATATTCAAAAACATATGAGAAAAGGACTTTCAGACATGCTGAATAATATAGCGGATTTGTGAATATAATTACTTGATATCAAATTAAAAACTGGGAAAACCTTTGGACATTTTCTTTTTCAACATCTTTCCATCTGAGGCAGTTTATTTATGGCCAGTCCTCTTACCTGTAAATCAATGTAGCCGTCATCGTCAGAAGCCAATCGTGAATATCTGACTTTGTTGTTGGAAAAGTTGTCAGACACCACGCTGCGTGCAGGCATGTTTAGTTACAGAGTGAGGTTAATCTTATGTCACAAATATCTTAGTTATTTGGTGATAAATATGAACAATACACGCTACAAGAATTAGGCAGCTGCTATCGTAATAAACACGGCCATATATAAGTAAAAGGTGCGAGGCCAAGGTGATGAAAATACTAATCCAAAAAGAAGGATGGAATAATGGAATAAAGAGAAATGGTCCTTGTTGACAAACCTCCACTTCCTGTTCCGCACTTGCGCAGAAACGTGACGTGATGGTGTGTTATGTTCATACAGCCACAAGAGGGCGCTGTTAAGTAGTGTTTATATTTAGACAGCAAGACTACAATAAAAATAATTAGGTGCTTTTTAACGTCCAAAGACGCTTCACAAGACATGATTAATTTACTCCTTACATAAATGATTAAATTGCAGGTTTGCGGCTTTTTTTAAAGATTTTTTTTTCCACTTTTTATAGCTTTTCTGTTATTTGAATGTTTATTTTCCTGCTTTGAGTTTCCCTGAGTATCAGCAGTGCTATACCAAAAAACCTGCCTTCCCTTGCCATACACCGGGGTGTAACCCTCTACTGTAAACCGCAGTGAGGCAATCAGTTTGTGCCATCGGCCCCTCCAACCACCACCAATCCGATCATGACAAGACTGATTCTAGGCAAGATGGATAAAGACTGTCTTGCCTATGGATAAAACAACAGCTGTATCTGTCCAGACCATAGACTGTATGGACCATAGACTGTAGACCATAGACTGTATGGACCATAGACTGTATGGACCATAGACTGTATGGACCATAGACTGTATGGACCATAGACTGTATGGACCATAGACTGTATGGACCATTGACTGTATTGACCATAAACTTTATAAACCATAGACTGTATGGACCAGACAGTACGGCTTGATTAAATTTTCATGTGGCCTCAGACCTTTTCCCATCCGCAACCTTCTGCTGTCTAATGAATAGCAATCAATAGCCAATGAAAGTCTGCAACTTCATGAGTTCTACAATGGCATGCTATACCTCCATAATTATTCATCAAAACATGAATCCGTCCACACTACTGAGCCTTCTTACTTGTGCTTCATTCCAGCTTTGTATCAGCTAACATACTTTACACAAACACAATGATACCATTGGATACCTTCATGTTCCCCTCTCCTTCAATTGAAGTAGCGTAAACTCAAATGTTGTTCCAAATTCATTGAAATGGTAACCACATGAAAATGAGTCCAGCCCTCCACAACAAACTAATGTGTGGACTAATATGTCTCCAATGTGGCCCCCTTGGAGAAAATAATTGCAGATCCCTGTGTGCATGTCTCTGATGTGCGGTTCTCAAGCCAGCCTCTTGCTGTCGCCCTCCACCCCATATGACCTGTGGCCGTAGGCTCCTTGTGTGCATGTTCAGTTCCTGGATGTTCTCATTGTAATGCAAGCGCAATATGAACACACTGCCTCCTTTCTGCTTGTCTATACATACAATGAAACAGAATCTAATATATCTGATGCTGACTCACTGAAACCACACTGATTTTCATAAGGTCAAAGATGGATCGTGCAAATGAACACTGTTGCTATAGAGGAAAACGTTTAAATTAATAAACAACATTCAGCAACTGGATTATTATTATTATTTATTTATTTATTTATTTATTTTAATACATTTTGAATTAAAGGGAGAGATAGTTTCTGACTGTGTTTATTAGGAGACAAAACAGAAGGGCTGCTGTTAAACAAAAATGTTTTTAGAGAAGTAAATACTGCACTGGTGACATGTGCTGGATTATTATTTGCAACTATTATTTGATGTATTGAGGCACTCAATCTAGACCATTTTTTTTTCTGCAGATGGAGAAATGTAAAAGGTATTATGGACATTTTCCTCAAAGCAAAATCTCTTAATGTAACACTAAAGTGTTTATGTAATACAGTATGCCAGAAGCTCACTGTACTTGTTCATACATTTGCCTTGCAAACAAACATCTGCTCCTCGAATATTTCTGACCTTGGCCATCTGCATAGTTTAGGGCCAAAGAAGGCTGTAATCCACGGGGAAATGTCTTTCTTCTGTGTTCTGTTGTTATGAAAAGAATCATGGAATGAAATAGCCCTACTTTCACAAACAAAATGTGTTCATTCTGAACAATTTGTTTTTCTGTGATGTTGAGGCTTTGATGCAGGTTTGAGGAAAATTACTGTTTTAATGAGTGAACCCACTGATATTTGTACAAAACACAACAATCACCTTTGCCTTCTTATCAATGCCAGTGTTTCAGCATTCCTTCATATAATCAATGTGCCGCTCTACGTCAGTTACTCACATTAGCCAATACACAGCAGCATCACCAGTTGAATGCATTTGTCTTTTTTACAGAGCATCCCCTTTTCTTAGACATGTCTGTACACTGCTAAAGCTGTTGCTGTTTCTACTGCTATAATATCTCATCCATACATTTTCTCTCAAACCCCAACTTTGCATTCAACTGTAATTCATTTCAATTCAAATTATTTTGTGCAGCCCTTAATCACAACAGCAGTTATCTCGAAGGACTATAAAATGCAGACACAGAGGATCAAATGGTTCAAACACTCTTAAAAAACATTCTAAATCCAATGAAATTCTCAGTGGCATTTGAAAATCAGAATGTTCCTCCTTGCAGAGCTTGTCACTCCTTGAGTCAATCAGCTGAGGTTGATGTTAATGTGTAACAATTCCCTTTATTGCAATCAGGCCATTAAACCCGACACAAGCCCAGATACATGAATATGCACAAACAGATCCCGAACATCACTTAGGATCTCTCTTCATCAGACTGGTGAATGCACGTCATTTTCCGTGACTACTAAATAATCCTAAATTTGTCTACGCTGGTGTCCTGTGTGAAGCGTAGACTTTATGTTCCATATCGATTAACAAAGTGCATGTTGTCATTGTAAGTGTCTGCATGTATTTTCCCTAACATTGTTCATGCCACACATGAATTATTAAACAGCATCACCTCTGGCTACAGTGCACCTTGAGCAGTCACACCAAATGATGTCTGCGGCTCTCTCCACGTGTACACATCATTTGCAGCTTTACAAGACCGTAGCCCCCCCACCCCCGCAAAACCCCGAGATATGATTCTAAACAGCAGCATTTAGGCCATAATTACAACACTATTCTGACCAGAGTTCTTTCTGTTGGGATAATTGGGATCTTCATTACAGAGACAGGAGATATTGCCTCAATCTGAGCTCAATAAAAGGCCAAACCATTACAGCCCTTCAACATGGTGCATTTCCCCTATTTAAGCAGCCAACTCTCTGAGATAATGCCATGCAAAATGTGGGTGGTGCACAGGTGCTGCTAGGCAAACTTTAAAATGATACTGCACTGAGCAAACGCTGGTATTTTTAGACGCAGCTGGCCCTTGTGTATTGAGAAGGTGATTGATTGGGCATGATTTGGAGCAACAGTCATCCACATATCCATCTCATCTATAAACTGAACTAAAATCCGCTATGCCAAAAAAAAAACCGCACACACATATCATGCATCTGTGTGATATATACAAAGGTTGTAGGTACATTGAAATCTGTCATAGTACAGTACAGTTCATTTGGGGATAGCTGAAAACTGTTAAAATGATCAAATCTTACCAACAATGTGTCTCAAGCACATGGGAGTTGAATGACATCTTTCTCCCAACAATAGTTTAACATAAGAAAATAATTTGAAACTATGTTGAGTGTTTTAACCTATTTATTGCTACTGATGAGAGTATAATGACGAGTTTTTCTTGTTTAATCCTCGCCGTAGGTGTTGGGCTCAGGTTTAAACAGATGAGTGAGTGTGTGGGTGTCAGACTGCCCAGGACACTGCATGAGGAGAGTCATCAGTACTCGGAAGAGGACCTTCACATTTATTTCACAATGTCAACTCCATTTCTACGAGGGTTATAAATAATTGCTAAAAACCAAAAATATATCTGCAGAACAGTATATGTGACTTTTATTCAGAGAGGGATGATACACTGATTTTATGCTGCTCATTCTCTATGTGAATTTTTCAGGAACCAGCAAGATTAAGATTAAGAGATCCTTTATTCGTCCCTCACAACACAAGATCATTGAATATTGAGATAACAACTTAATATTCACTAGAGTTATGTGATCATTATCTAATCTTCACTCAAAAATTCTACACTGTAAAAATAGAATCTCTATATTTATCTTAATAAAGGAGCAACAATAAAATACTGCATCCTCTTGTGCAAACAATATATACTTGTATGAAAACGTTAGATTGTCCAGGACCGTCCTGTTGCCCCCCTGCTGCACTGTGTCCAGGGAACAGCCCAGGACTGAGCTGGACTTCCTGATGACCTTGTCCAGCTTTTTCCTGTCCTTCTCAGTGATGCTGCTGCTCCAACAGACCACACCGTACAAGATGACTGATGCCACCACAGAGTCATAAAAGGTTTTCAGGAGTGGCCCCTGCACTCAAAAGGACCTGAGCCTCAGCAGGTCAAAACAGCTCCGGCCCTCTTCGAAGAGGGTGTCTGTGTTTTGTGTCCAGTCCAGTTTGTGACTTATTGCTTGTGAACATTTGCGTTTTCATGCTCCCGTGATTTTATGCAACTGCTTCGAGCGTGTTCGCGGAAGTACCGTTTAATAATAAAATAAACGTATGGCGCACCTCCGTGAACACATGCTACTGTTATATAAAGTCTGTGGAAGGTCTCTGAACACATAGACGCTGCAGAGCTGCATTATTGGAGTAGAAATTTATACAAAAAGCTGCTAGCTTAACTCCGTTAGCATCATAGTCCGGCCCGCTTCTTCCGCCACTGCTGGCCAGGACTTCTAGTGTGAAGACCCCTGCGTCTGAAAATTAGAGAATGTGCGTCTGGTGCGTGAGGCGTCAGCGTTCCAGCGTCGGCAGTGTTAAAGCACCTTTAGTCCTGTGTTAGTCCTGTGTTAGTCCTGTGTTAGTCCTGTGTTAGTCCTGTGTTAGT